AAGGATATTTCCCCTGTGTGCTTGACAAGTAAATTGTGTTCTTGGTTTGTCATGGAAACAAATTACGAGACGTTTCAAATTTATAAAAATGTTCATTAACCGACTAGATGCTCCAAATGTTAGTGGATATATATTTACCATCGATATTATGTACGTTCGGAGGCGCTGTTCTTTTATCGACAAGATGTTCCAAACATTCAGAGACTTTTATTTACCGACGAGATGTTCCAAACAATCGGAGATTTTTATTTACCAACGTGATGTTCCAATTTGGTTTGGTTTTGTTGCCATTCCCCAAAATGCTGAACGTTAAGCAGGACATAACAAATATCATTTGTAAGGGCTTTGTTATGCCCCGGCCTGGGGACATAACCCATTACCTTCCTCACTTGGGCGAACGCTCAACATTTAAGCCAAAAGTAAGGTGTTGCCAAGCAAGGCGATAGGAAATAAAAGGTGGTTAGAAATAGAAAGAAAGGTAAAGCTCCAAAATATTGCAATGGGTGCAGCAGATTTATTTTGGTCGCTAAAGCAAGTCCCCAATTCTGCAGGGGTTCCCTCATTAGTCGCCGCTTACAATACATGCAGTGGGTAAGAGCAGCCTTATTCATTTATCGATCCCCGACCTGCAAGGATGCAAACGTTGTTTATTTACCGACGACATGTTCCAAACATTTCGAAATATCTATTTACCGACGAGATGTTCCAAGCGTTTGGCGATGTGTATTTACCGACGAGATGTGTCAAACGTTTGGTGATGTTTGTATCCGACGATATTGTCGAGAAGGTCAGGGATGTTAATACGGCTGACTAATGTTGAGGTGTCCATTTATCAAAGTAGGTCTCACCTCCAACTGACAACAACATGCATCTATCATTGTGCGCTCACATCTAATGTCTCTTCTCACAACGGTCAGCAACCCGGGCACTTTGGCTATCGATCACACTAAAACCGACACATATTGACCAGGAGCAGCGACAGCCTGTCAATATAGGTTAGCGGTTCTTTATTGACACTAACGAGATGAAAACACCGGTAAATACAGTGTCCCCGATGGGTCAGCTGTAACGTTTCCCTAAAATGTTTCTCGAATTGTCACGTGTAGAATAGCATATAAAACGTTATTGCTAATTAATATTAATTCTTCCATGTTGGAACATCTACGAAGTATGGACAAAAACCGTGCACGCATTTAAAGTTTACATGTTATACATTTCACCATCATACACTCCAATAATTTGTACGATTTCTAATATAAATTTGCCGAGATATAGATTTTTGATAAACAAAAGTACACACAATTATTGTCATTTTTGCTCATGTCAAATTGCTTTAATTGATGAAAAGAATCATCGGACGTTCATAAAAAACGTAGTTGTAAATATGACGTGAGTAGCAATGACATGTAAACATAATATAACAGACACAGTAGTGAATTAACCAGTGCACTAGACTCAAAGACAAAGAAACGTCTGCACAAAACACACACGGTGCATGCGTTTTTTGCGTCTTCATTGAACTCAAAGGGGTTTTAAAATGAGAGTTCATCGGGCCATTGCAAAAACTGAGTTCGGCATTTGAGGGGGAAAATCAAATGCCTTCGGCAGTCTTTGTAGACACATCTATCATTGTATTGACGGATCCGACCTACAGGAACCGCAGTCAGCTACCTTGGTTGGTTGGTTGATGAGTTTATAGACTACTTTTCACGGGCAAAGCCCGTGTTCTGTCGTCTTGAGGGGGTTAGTCTCCTGCTTAACGGGCCCTCGGAGATTCAAAATAACCTTGCCCGTCCAGGTCACGCCCTAAGGTCGGTCAGCTCCTTAGATGCGGATAGGCTGTCGCAGTTACATACAGCACGTATATGGGAACGTGGAACACGTCCTTTAAACAGCTTCACTGCCCTCCTATCAGTCATCTACCGTCTTACTACGACTAATATAGGCGACACACATCGACGACCCCAGGTGACCGCAGTAAAGTACGTCTAGCGTTACGTCTTCATCGATAACTATATTCTACGGTAGGGTTAGAGAGGTGAAACGACAAACACAATATCAATTGACACGGTGTAAAACAGTATACTGATCACTGTGTGTCTTCTCTCTTGGTTTACAAGACGTTTGCAATTAATTGGTTTAATGTTGAAAAACTCTATGGGAACTGTTTCCCAGTAATATAACAATCAAGTACCGTATGCAATAATTCATACTGAACATACAGCCACAACCCTGGTCATCGTTTGTTGCAACCCTGCCTGTTACATAACACGTGTGACAGCTTATGTTACAACTTGCGACGAAGCCCCTCAAGCACTATCCCATTATAATAATCACAGATATCTTATAATATTAATTATTATTATTATGTTAAAACATATTTAGTACAAAGACTGATCGGTTATATGGCCCTCAACCAACGAACAGCGTATGCATAGGTAATTCATAATAAATTGACAAGATTACTACTAAGGCAATACATAAATTTAAAAATCAAATTGAGCAGAAATAAACTATAAAAGGATCAAAATTTAAATGTTCTTTTGGGTATACTCGTTAAAATACGATTACAAACAACGCAATCATATGAAATTGTACTCAGGAAGCGTAAAAATTGGAAGTTATACATTGAAAGATATGAAAGCCACACGGACAGTAAAACCGAAGAAACATGTAACGATAATACTGCAATTCTGAAATATTATTTCATAACCACCTGGTTAGATTGTTCTGACAAAGGGTTAACTAGAGATGCATTAGAAGACGATACCGAAGGATGGCAGTAGAAGCGAAAGAAAGTAGTTCAACAATTATACAGCATTTTACCAGGAGGCTGCAACGACTAGAGTGTACAAAACATTAGATAGTGGCGATAACAGGTTGTCAAGTATGACATGATCTGTTAAATACATAATGCAAATTCTCGTCTGTTTAAGATGTCCCCAATTATATATAGAATACTGTAAATATGAATGGTTAAGTCATGGGACAGTTGTACAATGGGCTTGTTTTTGTTGTTGTTGATCAACTTAGGCCATATAAAGATGTTATACCAAGTACCAGTTCACTGAATCATCTTTATCATGGCAAGGTAGCACAATACTTAATCCAGATTTATTACTCAGACAATAGACTTACTAGATGTACATATGGAGACACCTCCAAACCGTTCGAGTCTGTAGGAGGGAGGTGCAGCAGTTCGAGTCTGTTTACTGGTGCGCAATGTGATGCAAAGTGACTGCTGATGTACCAGTTGTATGCAAATAATTCAGAAACAAAGACATCGTACAATGGCAAGCACGGACATTTGCAGCTTCGTTGTTAATCCAGCGAGGCAGTTTGGTCGGTAAATGGCAGATTAAACACACTGGCTTTGTATATGACCAAACAACAAATACCATTTTATCTAATAATTTGTTTTGAAGTAAGACAATTTCACATTCTCATTCGTCGAAACCAAAAAGGCACCATTCCAGCGACTATAATGACGATTAAATTGTTTGAATTATACATAATTTAATTACGCTCTTTGAGTTCGTACTTGATAATTATCAAACAGTACATTTTATTTCCATAAATGAAACTTCAAGTTGGATGTCTGGGGTCAATTGAGTTTATCGACTTAACCAAAAAAGAACTCTAAATTGACGAAAATTGGTTTAAATACATAATATATTTAGCACTGTCAATCGGCTCTCTACTAATACTCAGTTTTGCAGAGGAGCCGTCAGAATAATTGTAATTAATAGGTCATTGATTGTTTTTCTTCAATAAAATCTCCCATTTGCGCTGTCTCGTCGTTTTCAGTGACCGACTTAGCACAATACGATGATACGACTGTGTCGTTTTATTTTTAAATGGTTGAGATATTCCTTTGAAATGGGAATTGTTTCGTTGATTCACAGTGAAGAATGCTTTTCATGTGCTGAACATTATCTTTAAAGACGCGAAAGCGTATTTTAAAGGGTTTAATTGCGGGAATATTAAGTACGATTGAATAAAATTGCCCGAGATAGTTTTTTTTCTCAATTATTGCTACAGGAATTAACCCATTCTTCAATCTGTCAATGGAATGTAACCGGAAGCTACAAGCCATTTACGTCAGTCTTGATAGGCAGTAGGTCTTTACAATGTGTATTTGTTCATCTGCGTTTGAATAATCATTCCCCATGTTGTCGATCTTACAAAACTAGTACACATATAGTGTGATTTACTTGGTCGATACAAGATGCATGAGATAAGTAATCTATAAGAAAAAATATTTTCTATGTCATCGATATGGTTATTTTGCGATTTTCTTTCAATGCGTTCTATCACAGACGTTCTCAATTATCTTTATCAAAAGTATTCATACATATTATAAAGCCTATTTAGACCATACAACTTACCTGTATAGCCATTCTTCTCATGTAAGCATATATATATATATCTATATTATAGTAAAGGGAAGGGAAAGCATTTGCCTAGTGCTATTGCTACTTTTTACAATAAAACGTGTTAAACTATTCACCTTTTTACTTCATTAAGGGCGACAATCTTCCATTTTTAATTATATGCCTATCGTACTAGCCCCAATTGTTAAAAAAACCTCCCCAGTTTACATTGAGGAGGTAGGTACGTGCCATAAAAATGCATAATACCACAATGATCAAATAACCTTTGAATATCTGTTGAACAATATCGGTGACCGTTAGGTTACGTAAAATGATCTTGCTCGTTAATCGAACTGCCATCAAAGGTTTACGACAACCATTAAAAGGTTCTTACCAATAATTCAAAATCGAGATTAGCGTTTTAAAAGTGAAATGGATCACCCCAGAAGACTATCGAGAGATCATTTGTACCTTTTTTAAATCACCAAATAATACCTGTCTGGAAACGCTTCACTCCCTTCAATGCCAGATCATTCTTTACAGATATAAAGCAAAATTAATTTCTACACTCTCAACACGTCTGACACATAAAATACCAGTCTCATATAACAAATTAGGAAAACTTACTGTTGGAAGAGGTAATTTGGTAGAGTGGGCCGCTGTTTTCTGTCAATAGAAAACCTACAATTAAACAGCAAATGATAAATCATAATATGTAAGTGTATATGTAAAATGATAGAAGACAGCACTTTGTTTACTTTCTCAACCATTAGCCCTTAGTGATAGCTCATACAAATAGATTGACAAAAGTCTCACAATGACCAGCACATCTTCCAAAACAGACGACAGCAGTCATGGAATTAACATACCATACAGCTATAGTTCAGTATTCAATATCTTCTGATGGAACAACAAATACGTTTGCAGGGAATGCTAGGTAAAACTAGACATTGCTAGGACTGCTTATGCACAGGTCGAAATAGTTTGTCATATATGTTAATGTCTGGTAAGTTATGCAACGTATTTATATGTGAGATGTATCTCCGAAATGAAAATGTCTCAATTGGATAACATTGCAGTTTTGCCAACTCCTATTTTTTATATAATCATCGCCCATAACATTGCTTTACCTTTCTTGTATATACTCGATCAAGTTACGATCTCTTCTGATCCATTCAGTTTATGGTCGGAATACACCTGTTTCTTCAATCAAACATTCCATTGGCCAAGCTTTTAAAATTGGCAGTGTTGTATAAGTCTTTACCTGTGTTTACATAACAACAAGGAAGTAATTACTGAGATCCAATCGTAGAATATATACAATCGTTACATCTCTATACAACTTGTTAATGTTATATGATCCCCCTTTTTATACTCATGTAAAGAGCTCATGAAATACACGATTGGAACACACTTTGTGTTTTAATCGTTAAAAGTACACTGTTTTACATTTACTTGTAACAGTTGATTGGTATTCGTATTACAAGTTTAAAACTCAAAGGTTTTGTAAAGAATTCATATTTGCTATCTTTTTGCTTAAAACAGTGTTTTGTATTCACATAACACATATGGCCCATGATACAAACATGACTGAACATAATGAATAGGACAAAGAAGAAGTGTTGTTACACTCAAAATGTATGTAGATATTATGTTACCTTATAGCAAAACTAGAATAATATAATATTAATACCTTTTATATAGACAGGGTTACATATTTAGATTTACATCTAATTTAAAATATGGCCCTGTAATACACAAATTACAATGGACATTGACATGATACATACAATGACATATGCAATATAACTAAATAATAACAATATCACATATGCAGATCCTGACAAGTTAAAGTATAAAACTATTCGTCACATTTAAAACATTATCTGCAGGTATTCCTTCTTAAATGACACAAATTAGGTAAAATATGGAGTAAGCTTTCAAAATTGGTCCATAAAATGCTCACATCTATAACAGCTTCTGCATGTATGCCTTCTTAAAAGACACTAAACTAGGAGTCAAAACCAAACGCTACAGGTTAGTGCCGTGTGCATTTATTGAAAATGATCATGAACTCAACTATTTAAGACTACGTATTCAGATACGTTTAATAAACGGTTTAACTATCAAAATATTGAGCGATGGTTAAGGTAAAGTTATCAAAATGTGTCGAAAACCTATAGTTTTAACTACATGATCCTAGTATTAACAGTCATAACATGTATAAGTTATATTTTGAATTTCGGGAGGATTGTTACTTGCGAAAAGGTCAAAAGGACAGTAATCGTAGATTGTCATAATGACGCCTCTAACTATTATTCATCAAAGGGTCTGTTTCTTGTTTGACAGGAAGATGATTCAGGGTGTTTACGCGTACTAATATAAAATCGTCTTGTAAGGCTTCGGAAACCAAACAAATGAAGAAATCCGTAACAACACCGTTGTTTTGTATGTCGCGCTGTCGTGGTGTGTGAGAGTCGCTACACCGCGATGCACTTGTAATTCTACAACCATCTGTTTACCAGCTGTATAACAAAAAAATCTTCTTTTAAAAAAAATTACTATTGTTTGGCACTTTGAGTAACAAGTGTTATTTACAATACTTCCCTATTGACTTGCAGCATAAAGGAAATATATGTAATCCACACCTGTTATTACACAATCAACAGGTATAGAAACGCTTACTTTAAACAGTACATAACTCATCTTTAAAATCTCTTAACGTTACACAAAGGGATTTATCTTTCCTGAAAATCACGAAACCGGAACCCAGTAACTAATATACAAAGATGAGTGTTGATTATCTGTGTACAGGATTACGACTGTTCTAAAATCATTGTCATAGATTGTTTTCATCCGTTTTGAATCATCTTTTTATCAATACGCCCAATGTATTATTTTCTGTAACAAAATGTAGTTTTTGCCATCCGACAGGAGGTAAAATAGTGTTCTAAACACACTTCAAACAGTATCAATGTTAACCACCTTTTAAACATTGGACAAAGTGGTTAAAATAGATCCTGCTATACGTTAAAAATATTCATTCGAGATTTTTTCTTCCACAGTTAACACTGTTTATCAGACCTCGGGTCATTCACTAAACGAATGAGGTGTCGGTAAACAGTTGAATAATACCTTCCACCACTTTAATTGGTTAAAATCGTGAAAAGTGGAACATGGCGGTGTGAAGATTAGCGCCTTTATGACTTTGTGCTCCGTCATTACGACATAAGTATCATAATCATTATCTAAATATACATGTAGGATGCTGCACAAACTGCTTATGACTTGAATGAACCATACTAACATTTTAGCAGTAACATAAATAAATGACTATCACTTCACATCAATTCCTATAAAGGCCTGTTAGAAGTATTTTTATTAACCGGCACTGATCGCCATACACATGGGGTAGAAAGAGATTCGTCAGCTTCTGTCAATTTCTATCAGGTTAACCCGGCTCTTGTTTTCCAGGTTAATGATAAGACGAGGTTTTTTTTCGGATTATATAGCATTATAATCAATATTCCCACATTGTAGAACCTCTGTTGGTATGTTTCTAAACATTTTCTTCATTTTGGTAAGTATTGATTATGAAAAGTTCTTTTTTACACATCCAATACAATTTTCTATGTGACGTTTCGATTACTAGTACGATATTTACACTGTCACCTTCATCAGACAAATGCCCAGTGAAGCGTATGCACACAAAGGTGTAAAATTTGTACGAGTTGTCCACAAAATCTATGACGATTTCGGCTACGCTGTACGCGTATGTACAATAGTTGTTATATGTGTTGTATAGATGTGCGAGAGTCTTAGAGCCCCCTCGTCTCGATTTAGAACTGGACCACTGCGGCGTTTCCAGATGACTTCCTTTATCTGCCGCCTGAACAGATTGCTCTCTCTATCCAAAACATCAGTAAAAGTGCATGTATGACTAGGCTTTATAAGACTGCATTGTAATGAATTTAGGGAATTCATTTATGACAGCTTTCCATTGAACAATTGTTCTTCGGAGTTATACCAGTCAATCACATGATTTATCTGTGTGGCATTGTCTGTGATTGCCGATTTATTGCCGACCAAGTATTAAACAAAGCGTAGCTGGATCGAGTCATTTCGGTACATATATAACAACTATTGTACATACGCTTACAGCGTAGCCGAAATTGACATCGATTTTGTGGACAACTCGTACACATTTTACACCTTTGTGTACATACTCTTCACTGGTCATTTGTCTGATGAAGGTGACGTGTACCTATAAGCTTGTTCAATTACTTAATACACAGAATATTAAAGAATTATGTAATCTTGGGAAGTATCTGATAGCGGCAAATAAGCGCTGATCAGATATATGACAGTTTGTATGTGTGTATTGTTCGTTCTCCTGTGACCAATGTGGCTTTTTGTACATATGTAAATACCCTGTTTATTATATGTTTACACTGATAAGTCGCAAGACTTAAAGTTAATAAAGAACTTGAACATATCCTTCTAGTCATCGAAACGTCACATAGAACATTGCATTGGTTGTGTAAAAAAGAACATAATCTCTGTTAGTATGCCTTCATGCATTGCAGTCGAATAACGTGGATTTATTTTTCTAAATCATATATGCATGTATTTTTTTAAATTAATTTAATTAAGAAATTAATGACACCACTCTACAATTTATTAAATTCGTGTATGCGTACAAATAGAATTATGAATGATTGTGAAGTATTACTTTATATCTAAATATTTACGTTGTATAGATCAGACAAAACTTCGTTTGTGTGGTAGTGCTCTATGAGATTAAATCCCTCTTGACAAAATATCTGTTTGCATTTAAAAAAAAACATATCAACGTCCATGTCTGGTATAGCATACCCTGATAAGTACTCAAACATAATTTAAACCCTGTATCAAACTTTATTTGAAAATCAAACATTGTTTGAAAGCATACATCCCCCTAAATTGTCTGCACTTTTTGACACTAGGTCATCAAATATTGGTTTACTTTGTCAAGTTTGTATTTGATTATGAAATATTCGCCAGCCATAAAGAGACCTATCAATTAGTGCGACGTTTTTGAAATGTCAAATTTTAAACCTTAAACAGTGAACAGACATGATAAAGTACAGAGGACGACGCAATTGAAATGTGCTTAAGAATATCTAATCTGGATAAGGACCGTAGATCGTCGTGATATCGTCCTGGTCTATTCATTTTAACGTACTTTGTGCGTGGATCTCGAGTGTTTGGCCCGTAAACTTTCACCCGGACCGCTATCCATCTCGTGTCTACCTTGGTTGGCGGGGCCTCGTCGACTTGTCCGTATGGCAGAGCTATGACGCGGTTGCCCCGCCGAGACGATGGTGGAGATATTTAATTACCGCTAGGTACCCCTGAGTTCCGACTCGTCTTAGTAACGTATGCGCGGTATCAGGGTTTGATATTAATTGTTACAACACTATAAGATAATAACCGTAAAGTTTAAAACCATCCAAAGCAAGTCTGTAATTTATCTCTCGTGTCGGATATAGGATCGAACTGACGATCTCAAACGGAGACACTCGACAGTACTTCAGATTAGCAGACCGGACCTCTCAGTTGTCTTACTTCTTTTGGTTAAGAAAGCCTTACGTACGAGAACATATTTCAATTCCTACTCAAGTTGGACTCAATGCAACTTCCAAATGTAACCGGTTTCATTAGCCGATGAATTTGACCAGATTAACATTGCCTGTACGTATGGTTTTGCGCTGGGATATAACTATTTACATGATTAAACAAAGAAGATGCCACTTGATGAGATTTTACATTTTTAGTGAAGCTACACAAGACATTGTTCAAACAACCAAAATCGATCAATCAGCAAAATATTATCAGCTCCCGGTTGCTAGTAATAGTGGCAAGTCATGAACTGCACTAGTAATTCTTCCTCCATCTACCCTTCCTGCCTCTTGTGTCAGTATCAACCTCCGGTACAAATCGAAAACAATGTAGATGCGGTCGAACAGCCAAATGCCATATCAAATTGTTTCGTCCTTTTAAGCCACTTACGGTTTCCTGTCTGATTCGACATTCAATTACTGCAGCTTCAAATTCCAGAATGTAGAACCTCGAAATTTAGCGGCTATCTACTTCGAGCTAGTAAAAAATGGCTGTCGTAGACTCGCAGCTGAGCCTGCGCACCGCGTCTAGACATTATTCTTTCGC